TGGACTCCAGAAGATGGTAGAGGACAGGAAGACCTGGAGGAACGTTGTCCATGGGGTCGCGATGGGTTGGACACGACTTCGCAATTAACAACAACAACAACAAATCTGTCTGGATGCAAAGGATGTGTCTGCCAGCCAACATTGATTAAAAACAGCACTTTCTGCACCTTCTTACAACCCAACATTTAACTGCTCAGAAATGGCTTTCCCAGTCTAATCTGGGGTTTGGTTTTTTTTGCAATGGTGGAAAGAGAAGAAAAGGCCAGGCACTTCACAGCCAGGGGTGATTTGGAGATAAGGGCCAGACTAAAATATTTGGCTGTCCTGAGCAATTTATAACAAGTCTCCGTTGTTTCTTTTTCTTTCAGCAAACGGGAAGGGGATAAAACTTCACAGCTAGGTTCAAATATTCCTGAAAATGCCCGCCTGCTCATAAAGTGAGCTGAAAACTTTTCTTGTGCAGAAAAAAGAGAGGAAGCAAAAAAAAAAAAAAAAAAGGGAGGGGAATCTTATCAGCTGGGTGTGACAGAGGGGAAGAAGCAGCTGAAGCCACGGGAAGATTCTTACACCAAAAAAGAAATTGACAGTACAGGCAGTGCTCAACTTATAACCGTTCATTTATCAATGGTTCAAAGTTACAACAGCACTGATAGCTGCAATCGTCGTAAATACACACCATTTTCCAAATATTTTTGATCACGTGACCAGGGGGATGCTGCAACAGTTGTTAAGTATGAGGAGCAACTGAAAGAGACTTACTACTGGTCCTCACATTTACCACCCGTGCAGCGTCCTCATGGTCATGTGTTCAAAATTCAGGTGCTTGGAAAATGGTGTGCATTTATGACGATTGCGGCAACCTTGGATTCTGTTGGGGAGAATGCTGAATTTGCTTAATGTCTGCAGGATTCACTTAACAACTGCACTGATTTGCTTAACGTCCATGGCAAAAAAGGGTCACAAAATCAGGCAGGTCTCATTTAACAACTGACTTGCTTAGCAACAGAAATTCTGGTCCTAATTGTGGTTGTTAGTCAAGGACTACCTACAGTACAGGTAGTCCTCGACTTACAACCACAACTGAGCTCAACATTTCTGTTGAGAGATTTGTTAGGCGAGTTTTGCCCCATTTAACAACATTTCTTGCGAGGGCTGTTAAGTGAATCACTGCAGTCGATAAGTCAGGAGCCTGGTTGTTAAGTGAATCTGGCTTCCCCGTTGTCTTTGCCAGTCAGAAGGTCACAAAAAAATAATCGCATGACTCTGGGATGGTCATTAAGTATGAGCCCGTTGCCAAGCATCTGGATTTTGATCACGTGACCGTGGGGATGCTGCAAAGGTCATAACTGTGAAAAACGGTCATAAGTCATTTTTTTTTTCAGTGCCACTGTAATTTTGAACGGTCACTTAAATGAACTGTTGTAAGTTGAGGACTATCTGTTTATTTTGGCTTCTCCACTCTGTTCCTGCCGTCCCCACAATGGAGAAGGCAACAGTGATGACGGCACCACATCCTTTCCTTGGTTGATGCTCATTTATCATCTAATAGTCTAAGCCAGAAAGTAATTACTGTAAAACATCTCAGAATCATCTCAACATCCCAGAATAATCTCCGGTGTAATTTAACATGAATTTAGGAACATTTGAAAAGATGAAGATTGGAAACCTGGGAGCGTTCCCCTATATCAGTGATGGCAAACCTTTTAAAGACCGAGTGCCCAAAAACCGTCCCGCTCCCTGCCCGCCCCTGCTCCGCTCCACTCCTCACCCGCCCCCACCCGACCACAGGGCCACCCACCACCTCCACGACCCACCACAGCAGATCGCCCAGGCGGCCCTGCAGCGCCATGGCAGCCACGCCCTCCACCTGCGCCCCGCGTGAGGGTGGAGTCATGTCCCTGCTGCCCGGCTGCCATTTCCTTGGCTGCACTGCTCCACACGGGCTGTGCCCAGGGGCGACTCTCTTCAGGGGGGGGGCTACTGGTGAGGAGGGGGCCGTGGGGGGAGGCGGGGCTGGGGCAGCAGCATGCGTGCCCACAGAGAGGGCTCTGAGTGCCGCCTCTGGCACGCGTGCCATAGGTTCGCCACCACTGCCCTATATAATCTGCAATTCCCTATCCCCATCACTGTCTTTATCATTTCCTTTTCAGTTCAGCAGCCTAGCAGCCTTACTGCTTGAAATGGCTCAGAAATACATATTTAAATCATAAAAAAAGAAAAAGTCTTTGGATCAGTGTTTCTCAACTTTGGCAACTTTAAGATGCATGGACTTCAAGTCCCAGAATTCCCTGGCTGAGGAATTCTGGGAACCGAAGTCCAACATCTTAAAGTTGCCAAGGTTGAAAAACACTTCTCTGGATGCCTCTACCAAGCTGCCGAAAAGTTTTTAAAAGTATAGAGCCATTCTTTTGATACGTAAAGGCAACGTGTTATTTCAGTAATTCTAAAGATATTTTTCTATTTATTCCTATGATGTTCTTAAAAGCCAGTGATGTAATGATGAAACTCACCCCTTCAGCAAATCTTAGATTGGGTACTCAAGTAGAATTAGGGCAAAGGCTTA